GGAGTGGTTTTCTAAAATGTAAAATTGTACATGTTGAGGGGGATGCAAAGAAATTATGATTACTGTTCTTTCCAGTGAAAATGGCCAAAATAGGCTCTTAACTCATTTAATCTTATGATTAAATCGTAAGTGTCTTATCTGCATTTTTTATTTGCATATGAGATAAACATCCGTCAGTGTGGACTGGCCTAGGTAAGAGTCTGTAGTATATCTGGCAGTCAGGGAGTGGGGCTTTTGGTTGTGTGATTTTTGCTTATATTTTTTTATTTAATCCTTTGAAAACTTTGAAAACAACAAGGCCGATGCCCTTTCTGTAATGTAAGGTATTTTAAAACCTCAAATGTCGCTCATCCTCTTGTCCTTTTAATGAATTTGTGCATTCCATGAGTGCTTATGAATCAGACAGCAGAGACATAATGTGTATTCACTTCAGTTAGTGAATTTAAACAAAAACCCCTGTGGTTGTTGATTACAGCAAATACTTACCTTATTTTTTTTTGTATAAATCACTTAGAGGTTCAAGTATTTTGTCACGTCATAGGATTTTAAGAGAGCCTAATGGTTGGATTCAGCTTGCATGCTGTAGATGCAGTTGTGGTCTGTGGCAGAACCAGCATCTCTAAGGAGACCATCCAGGTGAGGGATCTGCCTCTCTGCATTGGTGATGCGGAGAATTTTGGGGTATGTCTGTGGTTGCACATACTGATGGCAGTGCAGGGACATGGCCAGTCTACACCTCACACTGTTACCCTGGACCTCCTTTATGATGGAGAGTGTGTCTGTGACATGGATGACCAGAATGCTGGGATTTAGTACTGGATAAATCAGCCATCTTTTGATGGTAAATGGTCAGGAAAGGTTGTCTTAACTTGAACTTGATTCTGATCTTCTGGGTTTATGGTGGCAGTCATATACAAGGGGCAAAGACTTTCACCATTCAGATGGTAGGGGCTTTCTTGTTTGGTTTTTTTTCATGTGGGTGCTCAGAAGGTCTACACCTGGTGCATGCAGAGGATCACTGCAGTGAGAGCTACTTACAAAGAGGCAACCAAGCAACCTAAAAAACCCCTAAGATGCAGAAGTTGTCCCTGACTGACCTACCGTATTTGACCCTCTGTGCAAAGGAGGGGAGCGCCTGTGTCCCTCTGCCATCCTTGTGTATGCTGAGCCTGGCTCTGTGAAAGTGCAGGTTTACTTGTGTTCCATTTTGTGTCTCCTGTCTCTGGTTTTGTGAGCACAGTGTGAACCATAATGGGAATACAATGCCCTTGAAAAATCTGCCCAGGACTTGTGTCGTGATTGACAAAGGTGTTACATTTGGAAGATGCAGTTATATGTAACATAAAGACAAAAGGGAAATAATTTTCCTTGTTTGGAAAAGCTAAGCAAGTGTTTGTTGCAGTTCTGCTGGTAGGGAAGATGACACTGGAAAATACTAAAGTTCTCTAACTATTAAGTTCCAGTGAAAACTAGACCATACATGAACATGCTGCTCCTTATTACCTGAGAGGGACTGTGGTCATCATATTTTGTGACCAGTTATATTACTGGAAGTAAAAATGTTATCTTCCCCCCACTTTTTTTTCATTATGCTTTTAAAGCTATTACATAACTTTGGAGTTCAGCATATTAAAGTTCACGTGCGGTTAGCAAAGTGGCACGTTTTCTGTATAGACCCCAAATCTTAAATTACCGTGTATCGTCAAATCATGTAGTAGCTTTCCACAAATCACTGATCACATAATAACAATATGAATTTCTGAGGTAGCAGTAAAGTGTTAAAGAGTTAAATATTCCAGGCTTTGTTTGTTCCTCATCTGGAAACACAGAGAGAGAAAATGAGATATGCCATATAGCTGCTCTTTTTTTCAGCACTTTCATAAAGGCTGAAAGATATTTTCTTTGGTGCTTCACTGACTTCTGGTAAAGTGAGGTGAGAAAGTTCCATTTTCTGTCATGAGCCAACCAAAACCCAGCATGTTTCCAGGGTCCAATTCTAAATTTCTGTTCACATTGCAAATTGATGTGAAACTGCAACTATTGAGATTTTCTGGCACATACAAAACATTTGTTCAGCTAGAAAACGAGTAGGGGAAAAGAGCCAGCGGTGACAGTTGGATGAGAGCACGTTGGAGTGCTGAGAGGTGGAACACCTGGCATCAGGGAATGGGGGAGGTATAGTCCATTGCTCTGTATCTGGATGCAGAACATCTGTGAGAGTGGGCGTTGCAGCTTTGTTGAGGAATACCACTTTCAAGATCTGGATTCTTTAACACTGGTGCTCTGTGAAGTGTGATACTTTGATGTTAGATAAAAAAAAAATAAACTATAGACTCTTCCAGTAATTAGTTTGCTATTTTTTTAACAAATGATCTTGTCAACAAAGTTTTTAAAATTATAACCACTCTTTAAATGGGCTTCAGTTATTTCTGGGTACTATAGCCCATGCCTGTAGCAGTAGCCCCAGGCTGCTCCTGTTCATTAGCAGTGGGAAGGACTTTTCTCTTGCCTCGGTACCTGCACAGGGCATCACATGGAGGGGTTCTCAGGGTTTCTATGTTTAGTCAGATCTGTGGATGAGATGTGAAGAGCTTCACATTGCTTGCTTTTATTATAGTTTATTATATGCTGTGAATGTTGTTGTTTGGTATAATGAGAGTGTGGTTTGTTTTCTCTTTTCTTTTTTTTTGGAGTCCAGAGTCAGTACTGACTGGATTGTTCTGTGCAGAAATGTGAAGACAGAATGAGCTGGAATAGTTGATGTGTCACCATTGGTGTGTTTCTGGTCTGCAGATAGCTTCACAGATCACATTTGTCCATCTGCCTTGATAAGAAATTCTGTAAATCACAAAGTTGAAGACTTAAGCCATTATAATTTTTTATCTTGTTACTACTTTATTGTTCAATCATCCAGAGAAAAACCTCTTTAGTTCCTTCTAAACCCTACACCAACTCTACTATGAGGTAATACCTCTGAAGTGTAGGTTTACTGTGGGGATTAACTGCAGTGTTACTGTTCCTGAATGCATATTTAATGTAAAAAAAAGGAGAGGTGATGTTGGGAAGAACCTCAAAGAGTCACATTAGTTCAGAGTCCCTATTAATAAAAATGTATTTTTGTTTGCCCTGGTTTGTTTTAGCTGTCTATTTTCTTTAAATAGCCATGAATTATATTTTGCAGCAGGAGTGATAAGATCCTGCTGACTTGAGTGAGGCTTGACATGGTTCACTAACAATGTAGTGTATTTATGTTAGTAAATGGTGTCATTTTGAAATTTATCACATGCTCACAAATATCATTCTTCCTTCTCGCCCACTTCTCTGGAATTATTAGACAGACAGTTGAAGTAGTGGCTTCAGTTACTCTGCTGGTAATTGGATTAACAATTCAGTATGCAGTAATGAGTTTTCTCTTAGCTGAAGATTGGGAATTCAAATAATGCTTATTTCTCATTGCTATAATGCTGTGCTTTTGAATACTCCTGATATTTAATCCTTTCTTTAAAAAAGGGTGTTGCCATGTAACAGTCCTTATTCTTAGTATTCAGAAAATGTTTTTTCTAGTTCAACTTCTTACACTTTATTCAGAGTTGTGCTTGAAACTTTAAAGGTACTTTAAAGGATACCTTACTGAAGTAGGATAGAAGCCTGTATTTTTTCCAATTAAAAATTAACTTTTGAAATTAATTTCTTAATTTTTGAGCTTGTTTTTAAGTTCTTCTTAAGAAAAATGGATGTTTAGGCTCCCTCCCAACCCAGTGGTTAAATGTGTACTTAACTTTTAAACATCTGAGTAGGTTCACTGACTTCTGTGATTACACACGCCATGAGGCTTTTGACGAATTCACTCACTACAACCTCTTTGAGAGCTGCTGCAGCGGGGCTGGTGCTGGGCAGAGGGAGCTGGGAAGCTCACAGCATCCATGCTGATGGGCCTTGGACACAGCGGTGTCAGTGGGAGAACCACCAGCTGAATTAAATTTGCAGAACTGCTGTCCTTGCAGAACCTTGAGTGTTGTAATTTAGAAAAATCGTAATGGCCAAAGGTTGCTCTGAAGTGGTGAGAAAGCAATTTTCCAACTATGCCCACATTACTGGTGTGATCCCTTGGCCACTTCTGTTTCTGCTCTTGAGAAAGTTTTGATTTTTTTTTTTTAATGGTCCTCAGCCCGCTGTTGATGTAACACACACTGACTATGTTGCCTGTTCACTGACATAAGTGCTGTTATCTAAGTAAACATGGTCCAAATGCTTTCTGTTACAACAGGATTGTAAATCAGTCTGAACAAACATATATTCAAAACCCTGCAGAAAGGGGGGTTATCTTTTTCTGTTTTTCCTTTGGGGAGTGAGTATGCAATACAGAGGTATCTTTAAGCTCCTTCTTATTCTCACCTGACTTTTGATTTTTTAAATTAATTTCTTCTAAAAACTGGCAGAATGACAGAAGTCTCATAGTTACTGAATTCCTACTGCCTTTGGAGCAGTCCAGGGCTGGATGTAAGTGACCTTATCAGCTCTCAGGAAAGCAGAGAGTGGTTAGGCAAAAAGGCTTCAGGACATTTGTCTAATTATAGATTGCTTTTTCTAATACATTTCAAGAATAATACTTTTCCAGATGTATCAGTTTACAAAGTGAATCCTATTGATATCCTGCTAGATAGAAAACGCTATTTTAGTAGTTATATTTGATCTATAATTAAATTGTGTTTTGTTTTCAGTAGTAGTATACGATAGGACATAATGAAATTAATCTGTACATATATAATATGCATTTTAAACTAGTTACATAAAATTGGTGGTAGGTGTTTTAATGTAGAAATGTTTTAATAACTTTTCTTTCTTATAAAAAGGGTAATTTTTTGTCATTTGGTATTGATTAATAGACTGTTGTAGGAGATCGTGTAAGAGTATGTTATTACAGTAAAATGCTTTTGAAAAAAGTTGACATGAATCCTGCATTTGTCAGTTTTGTAACCTTCATATTCCTTCCTCATTAGAACTATGCAGCATTGATACAGCAACAAATCGATGAGGACAAACAAAACCTGAGAGAAAAGACTGTCTATGGACTCCAGCTCACAGAAGAAAAACTTAATGACTTCCGTGATGAACAGATTGGGCAACTGAAGGAACTGATGGACGAGGCTACCAAACCTAATAAAAAAATCACCATTTCTGAAGACTCAAAATACAAAACCTAAAAGATTTTGAAAATTGTTTTATTACATATGGAAGCGTTTTGAAACTTCCTTTTCCCGATGGAGTTGAATGTGGTTTCTGTGAAATAATGTGCGCTGCTGATGCCATAACTTCTCTGGCTATTTGGCTTTTTGTGCAAGAATAAATATAAAATGGAATAATCACAACACTGCTATTTTACTTGCAGTATTTTTTCTCCTTTATTTTTTTCTCCTAATGGAAGGTGAAGACTGAAAGATTTCGGTAAAAGTAAAGTGACATTTTTTAAATATAAAGTTGTTAGTTTTGTTTTGTTTTGTTTTTTTAATTTTGGCACCTGTAGGACAAAACATCTTCCTCTTTGTGTATCATCCCCTTCCTTAATGGAAAAGATGCAGTTATCATTTATTTTCTGGCTTGGATTCAGCAGACAAAGGTATGGTACTGGAGTCAGTTTGTTTTGATGGAAAGAAATGAGCAGTATTAGGAAAACATACTGCTGGGGAAATTGGTTTTCTTCTTGAGCTTTATTGTGAAATGTGCTTAAAAGTAAAAGATGTAACTCACTATTAAATTAATCTTGAAGGAATCACTGTCTTAGGAAGAAAATTCTGCATTTTTTTCAAAGGTAGACTCAGATCATTGTTAATACCTAAAATTTTTAAAAACCTTTTATGAGTGGGTTGTGCTGTAGTTAGAATTTAAAGGTTTTCTAAAAGCTCGGTATCTTATATTATCCAGTATTTGGTATAGACCGGAATTTGTAAATACCTTCAGTTTCAATTGCAGAAATTCTCCTGTTGATAATACTGCATGACAAACATTAGTATTTTATTTCTAATAGGTTAAGTCTTCAGTAGGACAATGCTTATCTATTGTAACATATACTATTGGGACTAAAGAAAGATTTTTATCTGTTAAGAAAAAACACGTCCTTTTCTCTGCAAAAGACAGCTTTCATTTCTTCTTCCAAACCTAGTTTTATATTATTAGTTTTGTTCTATTTCTGGACCTTTCCCTGTCTGTTACCCACAGCGTTTTCAGGACAACATAATTTCTTTGCTCTTGAGGGATAACAGCTTTGACAAGTAACCACATTTCCATCTGTCTCGGTTTGTAACAACATGCTGTTCGCCAAAGCTGTGCCTCTGGATCCTAATGGGGTGGAGGAGCAATCTGGGGAACAGCCTTTTTCTTTCTCCCTTATCTCTCTTCCCAATTCTTTGGTGGGATTGTAGGTTGCAGGTTGTTCATTTCTATTAAAAGTTCAATTGCAAGACTCCTGTGTGAGAAACACTTATGCTTGCTTTCCTGCATCTTCCTCTGGTACCCCTAGCCTTTGTTGCTTGTGCTGCAGGAACATCCCTTAGCCTCAAGCACCTAATCCAAATAGGACTGAAGGGCAGAGATGACACCCAGACTGCAAGGCTGAGGTTCACGAGTCCTGATTTCTGGTGCTTCAGGGGCACGGTTGGAGAGAATGGCAGCTCCCTTCTGGCCTGCTCTGTACCTAGGTCCTACCACAGCATCCAAGTGGGAAGCAGATGGGACATGCACGCAGGAAGCTTGAAGCAGTATCAGTCTGTGATACTGCCATTTACACATTGCTTAAGCTTTTTTCTTTTTAAAGTTCAAAGTCTGTACAAGTCTAATCCAACTCCGGAGTTGAGGACATAAGGATGTATTCTGTTGCACTTCCATCAGATGTACAGTAATCAGTAATTGCATCACTAAATCTATTCAGTTTTCATACCAAAAATGATGTTCAGGTGTTGACAACAGAGTTTGTTTCCCTCCTTGACTGCTAGTACACGTGTACCCGCTTTCCAGTCAATAACCAAGTTGCTTCAAATTTACTTCAAATGCTGCAATTTAAAGCACAGCTGCTTTTATCAACACATTTGATGAAACTTGTTAGTTCAATGAAACTAGAGTACTTGTTTTGCATCTGTCTACTCATGTATGCACCTAGATAATGCACATTTTTAGAACCTAAATTAATAACGGAAAATTGCTATTTGGTATGAAAAACTTAAGCATATAATGAGACTTAAAGGGAGTTGGAGGTGAGGGTAGACATCTTAACATCCGCAGTCCCTTTTCTAGTAAATCCAACAGCTTTTTTGTTTCATTCCCCATGGTGGCTTGTATTTTGTACAGTTTTTGTGCCTTGTTTAAAACAACTCTTACAAAAGCCAAAATTTCATAATAGGAATGAAGCATCTTTAAAGATTGTTGGTTTTAAGACAGCCAGTGCTAATAGTAAGGCATGGTCTGATCTGAGTAGGGCTTATGCAAGTGGTGGGCACAAACGGCCCCAAAGAAGCTTCGTGATGCCAACACTGCTGTGCTTAGTGAAATTCTTTAATTTACAAGAGTGGTTAATGACAAGTTAAAGAAGATGAAGATGACAATGGGCTTCTCATCTTGGCCACAGAAAGACAAAATGACACAGATTCTTCTGTTTCTTTACTTCTGAGTTATAGGATACTTTCTGTGGAGAATTTTACCCTGGGATTGAAGGACAATGAACAGAGGAAAGCATCCATCAAAAATACTTCAAAACTACAAGCAGCATGCTATTTCAAATGGCAAAAGAGTTGTTTAGGAAAAAAAAAGATGCTACTCACCTTAAAATGAAAAATGGCTCTGATCACTTCAGAAATGAGTATAGAGTTTTGTGTTCTCTGTGTGTTGGATGGATTGCTGTTATACAACTCACCACTGAAAAGCTCCTACCACCCTAAAAAGCCTTCTCTCCATTCAGTTTATCCATTAAGAAAGATTCTTTATATTTTGTTGATCTTAAATCCATTTGGCTCTTATAGAACTAAAAGAGAGTGATAAAATTCACTGCTTGATTTGGCTGAACCTTATCTGTGGTAACATTTTATATAATCACCTGGCAACTGGTAGGAGTTGGAGGGAGCAGAAGTTTTAGGTAGCTGGGAAAGCCACGAGCTGAAGTCTTAGCAACATGTAAAGAATTTTCAGAAATCTGTCTTATTAAAAATTACCTGATATGCAAATGCAAAGTTATACATCTTAAAAAAAAACACCTAAAAATGTCATTCTTCCAGTGTTTTATTATGCTTTTTTTAACTGTCCATCCAGCAAGAGCTATTGGGACATACTTCTTCCTTAAAAATAAATTAATAATGTCACACATTGAAAGTAGGATTTATGAAGAAATTTCTCAGCTATTTGGAGTTTAATCTTTTTGATTTATTAGCGGACATTCTATTTCTTCTTCTTGGATACGTATTTATGAGATGCTGGCTATTCACTGAGTCAGTGGCCAAATTTTAACTGGCTTTTAGGTAAAAATATTGAACAATTAATGAAGGAAACATGCCTTCCCCTGCATGTTAAAATTTATTTTAATTTTTACTTTTTATAACTGAACTAATATCAGAGGGAAGGTTGAATTTCTCAGCAGACGAATTTACTCAAGTGCAACCACGGAGGATCGATGTACCTTTGATGTAGGGTGAAAGCTGAATCACTTTAAAAACCAGCTCACATTCTAGGGCAGAAGATGTCTCTAATGCTGTCCTGCTTAACTGTTGATTTTCACACCTCTTGGAAAGGGTTTCAAGGTAAATGCTTCCTGCTGGAGGGTGTAGATGCACCAGCAGAGGTTTTGCAGGGCTTGTTTGGTGAACAAAACTGCCTGATCCACCTCCTGCTGCACCATGTCCTGGTGCGGGACCAGGCTTGGTGTGCCAGTATTTGAGAGCCTTACACTGAGCAATGGTGGTGCAGAGAGGTCTTCCCCACTGAACTGCATCAGGAAGTTTGCTGCAAAGATTGGCACAAATCAAATGGTTGGTGTTAGAAGTGATAACATTTGCAGCTGTAAATGGTCTGCTCTTGTTCACGGAGGTTACGTATCTGATGCAAAACCACTGGCTTTGGTAGGAACGTTTTCAGCAGTTTCAGTGTCCACAGCTCTGCTCTGGGAACAACCTTGACAGTGCTGAGTCCTTCCAGCTTTTCCAGTGGTTTCTGTCGACCAATTACAGCACATGAAGATCACAGAATTTAATTTCGTTTGGATGCAGCCATTACATAAGTGTAATACAAAGTATTCTTTGTTCATTGAAATTGAGAGCGATAAGTCAGTGTGTAAATTCAGTGTATAAATGACTAAGAACTGAATGGTTTTGCCACTTGCAGCAGTGTGTTATGAGTAAATGTCAGGTGTTTCAACTGGCTTATTTACGTGGTGTATGATCCTGCCCAACCGATATGTGTGTCTGGGGAGTTCAGTGTTTAATCTGCTCTCTAACAATTTCAAAGCTAGAACTTGACACTGTATAACAAGTATCTTCATTTAATAAAATGACCTTTAGTTACCGAATATTTGTCAACTTGTTATAAATGCTGAGGAACATAGAGACAACTGTGTATTATCACTGTAAAACCCTAAGAAGTAGTTTGTGGAAATACCACCATTTGCAACACCATTTCCAGCACAGACGAGCCTTCTGTTTTATGCCAATTACATTCCTTGAGGGCTGAAGTGAAATTTCAATCATGTGTTAAGTGAGCTAACATATTTACCATTTTCCCCCAAAGGTTCCTATTTCTAATTGTGACTGGAGAAACAACTACTACAGAATCTAAAGTAGTGATATGTGTTTATCCTGAGAGATTAACAGCAAAAGCAATAAAACATGTAGAGGACTGTAAGCTGGCAATACACAGTTGGGGTTGTAACAAAGGCAGGATTTCACTTAGCTTTGCTGTAGTGGAATATTGTACAGAATCTGTAGCATAGAAAGTCTGCCAGAGCAATGGAAACTGGCCATGCTCTTCCTTTGTACAAGGGACCCACATAAAAAATAGCATGGTGATGTCAGGAATTGGTAAATAGCCCAAGGGGATGACAGGCCAATGTTCCAACAGGCTTTGCCAACCAGACTGGGGTTTAAACTCATGTGGCCGTCTGGGAAAGCTTTCTCCTCCATGGTGAAAGAGGCTGACCAGGGATGGCACAAGGCAGGACAGAGGCACGTGCAGCAGGATGCTCAGAGAGCAGCTGTACCAAAAGCTTCTTCACACCCTCTGCAGCCTCTTATATCTGTTTATCCCCACCCCTGACCATGCCCTCCAAAGGCGATCCCTGTGCCTGCCACCTCTCCACCTGCTGAGCAGATGTACTTTTTATGCAGCAGATGTTTCTGCATACTTGGTACTTGTTGGCACAGGGAGTGAGAATCATTAAAAAAAAAAATGTTTGGGGCTTGTTGCCAATGTTCATTACAAAGTTCATTTCTTGTTTAAAGATGTGGCATTTTAAGGCCATGCTCTTTAAAATATTGGTGTTACAGGCACTGTGCAGTGCCCAGAGGCTGAAAAACACAACATCTAAGCAGCCTATTCACACCAAAGAATCTGAGTAATTTCTGGAAAGGCTCACTTGCAGTCCAGGACAGATGGTACAAAGGTTCCCTCCTAATCCTCTCTGTGGTGTGTTAAAAATAATTCAGAAAAGCCACACAGATCCCTTGCAGTGATGACAGAAGCCTCTGCTCATTTGCAAAGAGGAGACCTTTAGTGCAGAGGCCAGTGCAGTGGGTCCTGAGCTTCCCAAAGCTT